CCGGCCCGAGAGGGCGTCAAGAGAGCCACAGAGGCGCCCAAAACGGCCCCAGGGCGACACCAAGAGGCTCCCAGGACGGCCCAAGGTATCCTCAAGACGCTCCAAGAGCGCTCCACGACAAGCCAAGACTGCCTTTTGCGGCGCCAAGACGGCCCAAGACGCCTCTACGACGGCCCCAGAGACGCCGAAGAGGCTTCCCAGGAGGGCCCCAGGACGCCCCAAGACGGCCGAAGAGACCCACAAGACCGCCACAGGACGGTCCAACAGGCCTACAAGCGCGTCCCCAGACGGCCCAGGGAGCCCCAAGATGGCCCAATAGGCGCCCAAGACTGCCCCAGAGGACCCCAAGCCAGGCCCAAGAGGGGGGCCAAAGAACGGGGAGAAACCCTGACACTCTGAGGCCTGGGCCCCCATACGCCCACACAAGGCCCCAAGACCCCCCCAAGGGAAAGCCAAGAGGTCGCCAGAGGCCCCCAAGAAGCCCAAAGCAAGCCCCACGAGGCCCCAAGACGGCCCCCAAGTGGCCCCATAAGAGGTTCAACGGAGCGTCCAAGAGGCCCCCTAGAGGCCCCCAACAAGGCCCAAGAGGCCTCCAAGAGCCTCCAACAGTCCTCCGAAACATGCCCCCAGAGGCCAAATCCTTAATTTTTGGTAGTTCTTGAAGGAGTTTTGCCTTCTCGCCTTCTCGGCTAGCCGACGCTCCAAGACGGCCGAAGAGACCGCACCAGGACGGCCCAACAGGCCTCCAAGCGCGTCCCCAGACGGCCCAGGGCGCCCCAAGATGGCCCAAGAGGCGCCCAAGACGGCTCCAGAGGACCCCAAGCCAGGCCCAAGACGGGTCCAAAGAATGGGGAAAAACCCTGACATTCCGAGCCCTGGGCCCCCATACGCCCACACAAGGCCCCAAGACCCGCCCAGTGGAACGCCACGAGGTCCCCAGAGGCCCCCAAGAAGCCCAAAGCAAGCCCCACGAGGCCCCAAGACGGCCCCCAAGAGGCCCCAAAGCTGCCTCCAAGAGGGACCCCAGAGGCCTCTGAGCCATTACCCAGGCACAGGCACGGGCGTGCTTCCACTGACACCGCCTCCACCGCGTTCCCGCCTTCAGGCCTGCTTCCCTGTATCTCTCGCCCACCTCCACCTCCAGCGGCCACCTCCTCCATCCACGCCGTCCCTTCCACCCACCCCTTACCCGCGAGGCCACAGAGACGCTTCTCTTCCACGTCTACGCCATGGCGGGCAGACTCCGCGGCCGGAAGGCCGCGGGTCAGCCCTAGTCTCCTCTACAATACCGGGATCAGTGCGTGCGAAGCCCCCTCGAGTGGACTCGGCCTGGCCCCCGGCGTTCCTGGGGCCCTGGTCTATCGCCGGCGCCCCCGGAACGGCCTTGGTCCGTCGCCGGCGCTCCCTGAACGGCCCTCGCCCGCTCGTGACGGATCCACGAGAGTCCCGAGCGAGCCCCGAAACGGCCCCCCCAGGGCCCCTGAAGGGCCCGACTGGCCCCAGAGGCTCTCTTGACGATTTCGACAAGGGCTTCAGGGGGCAAAAAACATTGATTTTCCATTGGTTTTCGATGATTTTCTCGCTTCGGGCTTCTTCGAGCCAGAACGGCTCCAAGAGCGCCCCAAGATTGCCCAAGACGGCACCAAGCCGGCCCAAGAGGGCCCCGAGAGGCCCCCGATACCCGCCATGAGGCCCCCAAGAAGGCCCCAGGACGGCCCACGAGTTCCCAAGACTGCCCAAAACGGCCCCAAGCCAGCCCCAGACGGCCCCCCCGAGACCCACCATGAGGCCCCCAAGAAGGCCCCAGGACGGCACAAAAGCGCCCCAAGACTGCCCAAGACGGCCCCAAGCCGGCCCCAGACGGCCCCAAGAGGCCCCCGAGACCCCCCCAGGGAATCCCAAAACGGCTCGATAGCGCCCCAAGACTGTCCGTGACGGCCCCACGCCGGCCCAAGAGAGCCCCAAGAGGCCTCCGATATCCCCCCAAGGACTCCCGAAACGGCCCGACGAGGGCTCCCAGAGAGCCCGAATCGGCGACCAAATGGATACCACAACGTACCCCCTCCTTGTAGCCTCCACCAGGTGCTTTCTGCGACCCCTCTTGGGGCAGGACGCCCCAAGACAACCCTCAGACACCCCGCGGGAACGTTTCCAGAGGCAGACCTTCTGGATTCCCTAGGCGTTTTTTTTTTTTTGTTTGTTTTTTTTTTGTTTTTGTTTTTTTGTTTTTTTTGTTTTTTGTTTTTTTTTTTTTTATAATGTTTTTCTGGCTCTCCTTCTTTCCAGCTCCGGACCGCCCACGGCGGCTACAAGGGCCTCGCGGATCGACCCAAGGGGCCTCAGAGCTACCCAGGAGCGCCCCGAAATGGCCCAGGAGGGCACCAAGACGATTCCAATACGACCCGAGCGGCCTCAGAGCTACCCAAGAGCGCCCCGAGATGGCCCAGGATGGCTCCAACACGATTGTGCGCTTAGCGACCTTCAGGAGCTCCTGCGCAGACATCCCACCGCGTACCCACTGCTCGACATCCGGCCGAGCACATCGCTCCTGAACGACGTTGAGAAATCGCATGTCCTCAAAACACTGGCCTTGGGCGCACCCCGCCAACGTGCCTGGGCGGTGGGCCACTGTCTTCCCACATGCTTTCCGAGGTTTCTTCGGACATTCGGAGTTCTCCGGGGATAATTTTCGAGTTCTCTTGGAACATCTCGAGTGCGTTCTACCAGGGCGGGCCACCTTTGGGACCGCCACGACTTCCCCTAGAGCCCCGCGACATTGCCAAAGGGACCCCCGCAGGCTTTGAAAGCTTCCACATGGGCCCGTCCATGACATCGCCGCACATACCTCCGAAACCCAATGTTTTCTCCGTGTGTCCTTGCGAATCGGCCCAAATCCATTAGGAAAATGCACATTTCGCTGCTGGCGCCGCCCGGACCACATCGTCGAAAGCACCCTGCACATACGACAGGTTCGGGCAATTCTCGAAAACACCATGTGTTTCCGGCGATTGCAAGGGACACACGGGACGGTGCATCGTGAATCCAACGATTTCTTTTTTCGGGCCGCAGGTTCCCTGGGACCCTCTCCATCGATCCCGCTTCATTGCCAGATTCCGCGGCCAGCACGCGCTGCCGGGGAACCTTGTCCGAACCCTGATGGACATTGATGCCCCGCCGACGCGTTTCTTCTGGATTTCTACTCATACCTCCATCTCTCTAACGACGATCACAAGACCTACTTACAATGAGTCGAGGAGGGGCAGCCCTGTCACACCGAGCGCCTCGGGGGAAGGATCGGAGCGCTTCTGTAGTCACGCCGAGCGCGTCGGAGAGGGGCGGGCGGCGCTTCTGTAGCCCCCCCAGGACTGAGCCCTCCTCCTGGACTGCTGCTGCTGCTCCAACTCCTCCTCCTCCTCTCCCTCCTCCTCTCCCTTCTCCTCCTCCTCCGTCCTAATCTTCTGGCCTGGCTCCACGACTGAATTCGATTGACCATCCTTCTTCTTCCTCCGCCTCCTTCGCCTTCGTCGTCTTCTCTACTGCGTTTTAGTCGTGCGGCCCCCCCCCGATTGATATCAAACCCATGGAAATTTCAACATGTTTACGCTGCAAGCGTTGCCCGGGCGGCTTTGCATTGAACGCTTCCGATAAGCGTCTTTTGTGAAATATGTCGAAAACCATGCTATTCTGATGGTTAGCGGGGGGGCTAACGGGAAAGACCCATGGAAATCCACCTTGATGGCAGCGGCGACGTCGTCGTCGTCGTTCGGGTGGGCCGACTCGCGCGAGCCCGCCAGCTCGCGCGCCCGCGCGCCGGCAGCCTCCGCCGTCACCGTCGCCGCCGCCGTTGCCTTCGCCGTCGCTGTCGCCATCGCCGTGTGCGGTACGAGGGAACCCGTCGTCTTGCGCGCCAGACCCGCTATGTGCGCTTCCGCCTCACCCGCCTCCCTCCTTCCACTTCCTCACACCGCAGGAGACGTCCGACCAGCTGTTCCCGTTCGGCTTCAGCGGCTCCCAGTCTCGGTGTGCGCGATCGGGTTTCAGCACACCGTGGATTTAATCCACGGGTACACCCTAGTTAGCTACAACGCTGGGATCAGCGCGTGCGAGAAGGGCGAGCAGTGGCAGCGGGCCCTTGCGCTGCTGAGCGAGATGCGGGAGGCGAAGCTGGAACCCGACGTCATCAGCTACAGCGCTGGGATCAGCGCTTGCGAGAAGGGCGGGCAGTGGCAGCCGGCGCTGGCACTGCTGAGCGAGATGCAGGGGGCGAAGCTGGAGACCGACGTCATCAGCTACAGCGCTTGGATCAGCGCGTGCGAGAAGGGCGGGCAGTGGCAGCGGGCCCTGGCGCTGTTGAGCGAGATGAAAGAGGCGAAGCTGGAGCCCGACGTCATCAGCTACAGCGCTGGGATCAGCGCTTGTGAGAAGGGCGGGCAGTGGCAGCCGGCGCTAGCGCTGCTGAGCGAGATGCAGGAGGCGAAGCTGGAGACCGACGCCATCAGCTACAATGCTGGGATCAGCGCGTGCGAGAAGGGCGGGCAGTGGCAGCGGGCGCTGGCGCTGCTGAGCGAGATGAAAGAGGCGACGCTGGAGCCCGACGTCTTCAGCTACAATGGTGGGATCAGCGCGTGCGAGAAGGGCGAGCACTGGCAGCGGGCGCTGGCGCTGTTGAGCGAAATGTGGGAGGTGAAGCTAGAGCCCATTGTCATCAGCTACAGCGCTGGGATCAGCGCGTCCGCGAAGGGCGAGCAGTGGCAGCGGGCGCTGGCGCTGCTGAGCGAGATGCGGGAGGCGAAGCTGCAGCCCAACGTCATGAGCTACGGCGCTGGGATCAGTGCGTGCGAGATTGGCGTGCAGTGGCAGCGGGCGCTGGCGCTGCTCTGCAAGCTGCGGGAGGCGCTGGAGCCTGACGTCGTCAGCTTCAGCGCGGGGATCAGTGCGCGGGAAGGGTGAGCAATGGCAGCAGGCACTTGCATTGCTCAGCGGGATGTGCGAGGTGAAGCTGGAGCCCAACGTCATCAGCTACAATGCTGGGATCAGCGCGTGCGAGAAGGGCGGGCAGTGGCAGCGGGCGCTGGCGCTGCTGAGCGAGATGAAAGAGGCGACGCTGGAGCCCGACGTCTTCAGCTACAATGGTGGGATCAGCGCGCGTGCGGTCCGCGCGTGCGGTGCCCAGCGCAGTGGCAGCGAGCTGCCCCCTTCCGGCCGCTTCGGGGTCCCCGACCACCCAAGTCACCGTGTTTGTTGCGCGAGCCTGGCCACATTGACGCCGCTACTTTTGCGGTTGTCATTGAAAAATTGACGCGTAACTACAACATGTCATCTATCATAAGCGGTATTATCGTGCGTATCGTTCTCCTCCTCCTCCTCCTGTTCCTCCTCCTCCTCCTCCTCCTCCTCCCCCTCCTCCTCCCCCTCCTCCTCCTCCTCCTCCTCGTCCTCCTGCTCCTCACTCTCCTCATCCTCCTCCTCCTCATCCTCCTCTCCCTCATTCGCCTCCTCCTCCTCCTCCTCCTCATCCTCCTCCGTTGCAATTTTGGCTCAAGCAACAATCGATGTTGGAACGGCGTTCCACAATATGCCCTGATCCCCCCCCTCCCCTCATCCGTAGCCATGTTGGCTCAAGCCAAACTTGATTTTGGAACGGTGTTCCGAAATCGGACCTCCCCTTGCCCTTCCCCCCCTTTTCATTATCCTCCTCCTCCTCCTCCTCCTCCCTCCTCCTCCTCCTCTCCTCCTCCTCCCCCTCCCCCTCCTCCTCCTCTCCTCCTCCTCCTCCTCGTCCTCCTCCTCCTCCTCCTCCTCCTCCTCCTGTTACTTATCATCCTTGCAGGCCGAGTAGAGTGGGCCCCTGGAACACGAAAGGATGCAACGACCTTGCAAGGAAACCCCAAGGAAGCAAGGATCTTGCAGCGCTGGTGTAGCGGCGTAGGCGGCAGCCTTCAACATATATGTGGTAGGTCCGACAAACTTGGCCAACTGATATTTTTCACAATGCGATATCCGCAAGCGCAAACTCAGCATCAACCTTCGCACTCTGATTTAGAAAGAAAGACAAACCACTTGTGAATGACTGTCTCTGGCAATCTGACTGGGTGACACGAAACGCCGACCTGCTTTATCAGCCGTTGCAACTCCTCATCTGCTTATGTCCACCCGATCCTTGGGTTCAAGGTGGGCGATTGGCACATATGCTGGAATATGTGAAATTTCGGAACCATCTTCCATGCGCGGACATTTGAATTGATAGATTTAAGTGAAAGGGCGCCGTACATGCTGAGAAGGCGCGTTGCCAGTTGAGGAAGTTCGCGCCGCACTTCTGCAGACAGGAAGCGGCCTTCATTCTCCACGATATCTTAAAATCTGACCAAGCATTGCATGATACCCAGCCGTCGTTTGTCGTGAACGCTCGGTGTGCAGAATTCTTAACACAACAGCAACGCAAACCGAGATATGTGTCTTGTGTTCGCCGCCTTGGCACGCAATTTAGGCCAGCCTCCTTGCGTCTTGATGCGTTCGACTGTCAATACTCCGTCTATCCTGTCTTGTGTGGTTGCTCCGTACATTTTCAGCCTGGCCTGAAGGCGAGCGAGTTTGTCTGCCCAGTTGGCGCCCTCCAGATTGTCTCTCGTTACCTCGGCAAATACATTTGCAATACAGTGTGATGCGAGCCCCTGGTCAACCGCATGCAACACATCCGGCTGCACGCCTTCCAGTCTGAACGATTTTATGTTGAAGGCGGGAGGCAACACCTTGCCATGGGCAGCCAGCATATCTTGGAATGTCTCATGTGATGTCACCGTGTGCCTCCAGCCAGCTGCGGGTCTGACATCCGTCCACCGTAAGCCAGGTACGTTGTGAGACGCATTGCAGTGCAAACACATGCTTGGCCCGGCATCCCAGCGGGGTGCACCGACAGTTTCAGCACTAGCCGCAAACTCCCAGTCGGCGCGGAAATGAATGAGAGCCGCTCTCCACCCGCCCCCAATCCTACGTCCAGCCTCTGGGTGGGGCCGATTGTTCCAATCGAGCGCTGGAATAAACCCGTCACATAGCGCATTCATACTCCATGAACATCTGCTCCACAGTGTCGTTAGAGTTCCAGGAGTCATATCGGCAGATTTGAGCACACAGAATATCTGATGCGTATCTTTGGTAGGACCCGAACCCAACAAGCTTGTCCAAGCACTCGTCAGCAACGATTGGGTCTTGGTCGTGGCGGCTTTATCACCATGCATGCCCAAGGGAATCGATCTCTGAGTGTCAATCATATCACGTACACCTGTGAATACAGCATCATTGCGCATGCCTTCCCAAAACTGTGCGATCTCTTTATCGTCGCCCCTCAAAACTCGATTGGATTTGCTTGTATCACGCATGATGCTCTCAAGCATCCTTATCGGGTCGATTATCGGGTATGGCGTGCAGGGCCCGCGTGTAGTTGGTATTTCCATCCACTCAAGTGTTGGGTAATCTGTTGGCCAACCAACGGCCCTGGAGAAATCTCTGTGAGCGTGTCGGAGATCAGAGGCGCGAGAGAGCTTGCCTAAGTCCTTGGCCCCTTGGGCTGCAGCTGTTGAGCAATACTCCTGCGCAACGTTTGCTGGGAGTTTGCCGCGGCCCCAATCCCTTTTCACAGCGGAGCTGAACGGGGTGTATGCCTTCTCGGAGGTCAAAGATTCAGCGTGGATCGGCACAATGCTTTTCTTGACGCCTCCAGCGGGCGACGACGAGGAAGCCGCAGGCGCTGCGTCCGAACCAACTCCCTCAACACGCCGTTTGATTCCTCCTCGGCGAAGAGACATGCAACGAACACATAACAGAAATACAAGAGTGAAAGTCAAGCACTTCATTACACGTGTATGTAAAAGCAAGCTTGAGCCCACATGGCTACGGAATGTTTCAGCATTGTTAGGTTTTGGGAACGAGCGCACCCCAGCAGACGTGGCACTCGTGGAACAAACTGACTTGGAACAAAAGCCTCTCTTCCCCCTCCTCCTCCTCCTCCTCCCTCCTCCTCCTCCTCCTCCTCCTCCTCCTCCTCCTCCTCCTCCTCCTCCTCCTCCTCCTCCTCCTCCTCCTCCTCCTCCTCCCCCCCCACCTCCCCCGATCACACATGTTATTTCAAAGGGGGTTAGACATAACATCCTCCTCCTCCTCCTCCCCTTTTCCTCCTCCTCCTCCTGTTCTGTTTCACCCTCCCCCTCTCCTCCTCCTCCTTCCCCTCCTCCCCTTCCGGCCTCCTAGCCGGCCACGTCGACGATCTCGCGACGAAGTCGTCGGTGGCCCCCCCCCACTGCCGGGGACGAGAATGATGGCGGAGGTGAAGAGCTGAATACCATTCTTGAGGGATCCCAAGGCGAGCGTTGCGTTTGTTCTGTCCCCCAAGGGGGTGCCGATACCGAAGAAGATAATCATTGCACTTGTGCTAGATAAGATGTCATGTTGACGATAACGACGACGACGATGATGTTGATGATGATGATGCTGATGATGATGATGATGATGATGATGATGATGATGATGTTGATGATGATGATGATGAACATAATCATGTGTATGGTAATGCTTCCAATTGTGGTAATGATGGTGATGATCATTAGTATGGTTGCATTGTTGTAGGTTTCTGTGACCACGGACCGTCAACGGCAAAGGCTCCGTGAACAAGTTAGGGATAGCGCAAGATAGCAGATCCCAAATGAAGCATTGGACCACGTGGCAATGGCGATTATGATTGTCAGGATGCCTGTCGGTCTGACGGCCAAGCTGCGAACTCGCCACAACCCGTTTGCGCACAGGTGCGCAGTCCAAACGTGCCTGGCAGCTCATCCCTCGAATCACCTATGCCGACTTTTTGGGCCTCTTCGACTTCGGGGCCCCCGAGAGCCTCGTGTACCACTCGTTCAGGTCGTTGAAGAGCTTGAACACTGGGTCCAGCTTCTGCGCCATAGCCATGACGTGGTCGTCCTGCATGTTGCTCTGCACAATCATTGTTTCCATCATCCCGTGGACGGCCTTGACCTTCGGGATGAGCTTCTGCGAGTCCTCGTGCATCGCCAACGCATACTTATTGTCCTTGGTCTCGGTCCAGATCTTCTTGAGGTCGGTCAGCATGTCGGCTGTGGTGCGGCAGACCTTCCGCGGATCCTTCTTGAAGGCGTCCACCGTCGCCTGGAACTCGCCGAACTCAGACTTGATCGGGACGCTGGGTGCCGCTGGCGTTGACGAGGCGGCACCGCTTGATGACCCTGCCATATTACGCATGACCGACTCGAAGTGATCTTGAGCCGTCAACGTCGCCTGCTCGGTATCGATGTCCTCATCATTGGTCAGGTTTTTCGTGTTGCCCTCGAATTCGCGGTCGTTGCCCTTCGAGAAGGTCACCTTGTATTCTCTGTCGAACTCACCGTCTTTCTTGGTATCTGGATCTGGCCTGTGTGTTAGGGTGCCAGAATCGATCTTGGCCTGCGCTTTGTGCGCGCCAAGGCGGGCGATCATCGTTTCCTTGGACATCCACTCGAATTCCTCGTCCTTGTGCAACAATGTACCCGCGGTGCGGATGCTAGAGAGTTTGTTCTCGCCCTCGAGCTTCGTCAACTTGTCGGCGAACCACTGGGTGAGGAATGCCTTCTTCTCTGTGGTCCCCTTGGCCGAGAAGGCGTCTTTGGCCCCAACTGACTCCAACCAATACCTGCAGCTGAAACACTAGACTCATCGCACTAATGCCCCCCCCTCCTACGAGGAGATCTTAGACCCAAAAGGTACGTTTCGACACAAATCGATGCCTCTAACCACACAGGCCCCCAACATAGGAGACGCGGCCAAACCAGATAATTGCAGAGGCAGTCTTAGGACCACTCCAGGTCACGAGAGGTTTGAACGCTGGCGCTTCAACTCCTCCTCGTTGACGAGAAGTTGCTTCGCTTTCTCGAGGTCTTGTGGCGAGGTAGTGAACGCAGGCAGGGGAGCCTTGGTGACCTTCTTCTTAGGTGCCATGTCGGCTGGCACGACTGCTGTGGATCGTTCGAGCAACGCATTCATTCGCCCCCGACCTTCTCCCCCCTGCGCCCCGACCCGATT